ATATTTTAATATTTTTTCCCTGAAATCTTATTAACAGAGCCTGGCAACAAGCAATTTACAGGACTATTAATTCAACCTGGAGGAATCCATGACCATATTGTGTTGCATGTATAGACTTTGATGGCTTAGAAGTTTTTAGAATAGCTGGGATTTTTTGTTTTCTCGGATACTGTGTTAAGCAAAATCATGGCTATAAACGGTGAAGATATGCAGAAGGAGCTAGAGGATTATAAAAATGAGCTCAACATGTGACAAAAGTGTAACAACATCAAAAGCAGCAAAAAACGGAATTAATGAAAAAATGCCTTATCAGAAAGAGAAATTAAGAAAAAGGTATCTGTGTTGTTTGATTCTCAGAATTTATGCACAATCGCTGCGCAAAATTTTCTTCTAATAATATCACCTTAATAAAGCAGGGGCAAACTACCACTTGGGTATTTACAATGGCAATGCCTCATCTCACTTTTATACCTTTAATACCTTTTTATACCTTTTAAAATGTAAGAACAAATTATACTGAAGAAATTAACCTCAGCAAAAGATACATTTATACAGTTTAAAGAAGCAATAATCTATGGTTCAGAAACAGCTTAAACCATTTAGCAAGAGTTTTGGTAAATAAACATTTTGGATGACAAATAACAGTACTCTTCTGTTATTGGGAACGGATTCAGAAATGTATGCATATATGCATGTGTGTTCATGAATACATGTGTATAAGTACATATGTAGTGTATATGTTACTGTGAAAGTCCGAGATTTGGAGAATGTTGACATTCAGCGGTGAATGTCAACATTCACATAGTCGCTTGGTGCATGATCAAAATATTTGGCAAATATCCTTACTTTTGACTTAACCCACAAATGTCGACATTCACCATGCACTAATGGTGAATGTTGAATACATCAGAGATTTGCATTTTGTTCTCCGTATTTCAGGCGCCATAAAACTTCAAGGGTGACGTAATGTTTTCGCCTGTCTTGCTGACAGGAGTAACCAATCCCTGGTGAGAAGAGTTGTTTGTAACTCTATAGAGGTGTTTTCACTGCGCAACATGTAGCTTTTGATTCTAATGTGAGAAGGGCTACTCAATATTACTTGACTTCTCAATAATGACAGCAGTCGTGCTTGGATAAATGTTAAGCATTTAGTTTTAAATTTAGTCAATAAAGAACTTTTTTTTTACTTTTGCATTTATACCATATATGTCAAAATATGAAAAAGCTTATGTAACAGCACATGTAAATAAACTTTTGAATTTAAACAATACATTCTAAATGAGAAAAGAAAATAATTCCAAAAAAAAAAAAACTTAATTATGTGATTGAAATCTTATTTATTGCAAAAACATAAACTTTTATGACATTTTGAATTGCACAAGAGTCCCTTGCTTTTACAACTGCATTTAGTAGTGGAACTTTTCCTTTTTGCAGAGACATCGTGTATAGCCTTGCCTTCTACTTCTCGAATTAGCTGCAGCTGCTTCTTTCTCTCAGCGACATTACCTGAGAAGGAATCTTATCTATGGAGAATATCTTTTCTTTACAAATTACTAACTGATTACAGGTACAAAGCTGCTTGAAGGTGTCATTTTTATTTGCTAGTTTATAAAAGCCGAAGTCTTATTCCAACAACAACTGCCAACACATTTCGGCCATCTGTACGACCACGGTCGACATCAGGGACTTGTATTCATATGGTATCAGCAATCTGAGCAGGAAAATTTTTCGAGATTCATAAAATTTTTTGTTGCTTGCAGTAAAAGATTCTCCTTTGCGGCCGATCTTTTTACAGAAATTAACTCGTGTTGTTAGTCCAGGCTTGATACGAAGATGTGGTAGGTTGCGGGTCTTCCTCAATATTTTTCTTTGGAATATAGTTTTCATTATAACTATTGCTCAGGTTTTCTTCAAAAGTATTAACAGTTTCTTCAAACTGTTCTTCGGTTTCAAATTTCTTAAGAGTTGTTCTTCAGTTTCAATATTTGCGATTTGTTCGCCAAGCAAAAAAGGTGATGCTATGCCTTTTCTTAGTTTAATGCCAAACATAGCTTCATAAGGCGTAATCAGTCCCAGTGAGGAGAGAGGTGTTTGAAAAATAAAAACAGTTGTCTTCTCGTTTACTCACAATTAATGCATTTAACTTTTCAAAGAAAAGTTCACGATTCACTGCAGTATCCATTCAACATAAATTAGGATATCGGATAAAAAAAAAACAAAATTTAGGAAAACATTGTGCGTACCATCAAACCTAGCATAAGACTGACAAACAGTGTTCCAGAATATAACAAATACATGCTACATAACTTCAATCGCAGCAGAGCAAAGTATTTTGTGACAGACAGTCGCCCCTCTGTTGAACTCGACTTTCTCTTTTCAACCTCCACCACAGTATATCTGAGACTGTCGACATACACCGGTGATGGTCTGAATGTACAAGAATATAACCTAATATTCGATCTTTCACTGATGTATTTGGTATGTGTTGACATTCACTGGTGAATGTCGACCTTCTCCAATTTCGATCATTCACAGTAACTTCTCCAATTTCGATCATTCACAGTAACTTCTGTATGTATGCACATACGTGCATACATATAGAAGGTGTTTACACGTTTTTGTAATTTTTGTACTAGATCAGTAAAGCCAACTTAAAGTTTCTATGTGCTTTGGTAATGAATGTCTTTTTCCATTTTTATAAATACAGGATCTGAAATAAAGACTGCAAATTATTGTGTACAAATAGTCAAAGCCACAATAAGAAAAAAGAAGTATGAGTCAACTTAAAAAAAGTCTGTTAGCATTAAATCCTGCAGAATGAAAGAGCACAAGGACAAATGCAAGATGAGAATAAGCAAAAGGTAGGCATTCTGATATGGAAGTCATGAAAGTACCCAGTAATTTACAAGATAATTCAGCTTCACTTGTAACAAAACTAAAATGGACAAAAGGAAATGAAATGTTATCATGGTTACTACCTTAATGAAACTCACATTAAAAGAATTCCAGAGGATAAGGGTACTTTTGATGAGATAAAAGCAGATTTTTTTACAACTGTAATATTCCATTCCCTGTCAGCAAGCATCCATTTGCTTGTAATGTAATAATCAGTTTATTGAGACCAGGTTACACAAGAGATAACAACTGGCTAGAAATCTGCTAGGTTAAGATAATGAATTAAAAGTCAGTGGTAAAAAGTGGTTGGCGATTCAAGTTAGTTAACATCCATAATGTCCCAGTTGCTGTTACTATTAAGCACACTGGTACTGAAAGCATTTTCTGCAGTTCCAGAAATACACATCTGAAATAAAGACTGAAAATTATTCTGCACAGATAACCAAGACAACAAAACAGAAATATGAAGAAGTGTTCATGAGACAGAAATATGGATGGTAATTCAGATGGATCATCCTACTTTGAGAATAGCTTCAATACCTTATGATAGAATCACAATTATTCAACTGCTAAATATTACTGAATAAAATGCACCTGAAATTTTAGCCTTTCAGTGTGCATTTATATAAATAGGTGTCAAATTGATTACATATAAAAACAGGTACATCAATAAAATTAAAAAAATTATAAATTTAATAGCTTTGTGTACTATTAAGCTTTAACTATTATTCTATTATAAACATTTTTTGCTTCAACTTACGTTTTGTAATGACAAGCTATAAAAATATTAAATCTAAAAAGAAACAAACTAAAACAAACTCTAAAAGATATTTTTGAACAAAAGTAGTCATCAAGAAAAGTATCATTCAAATCATAGTCAATCCCTAGTTAACCAGGGTAACATCAGGCCTAACATCCATGGTTAATCAGAAAATAGTGAAACACACACAACAAAAAAAAAAAAAAAAAAAAAAAAAAAAAGCAAAATCCACATCATAATTAACAAGAAGACATTATTAACAATTTACTAATATTTTTAAGCAATTAAATCTAGCGAATAAAATCATTTCATTATGTACATTAAAACAGTATTCGATGTTTCCTCTCCAGGGCCGGATTTAGACTTGATGAAGCCCTAAGCTATTTGAAATATGGGGTCATTTATAAGTCTGTCTTTTGTAAGTCTATATTTTAATACCATATTTATACTGTATTTAAAATTTTTGGGGGGGCTAAGCTATAGCTTGTGTAGCTTATACATAAATCCTGCACTGCCCTTCTCTCAAGCACAAGCATGCATCCTCTTTCTTTCTCACTTCACATACCTGTATACATTTATAAGTCTGTCTTTTGTAAGTCTATATTTTAATACCATATTTATACTGTATTTAAAATTTTTGGGGGGGCTAAGCTATAGCTTGTGTAGCTTATACATAAATCCTGCACTGCCCTTCTCTCAAGCACAAGCATGCATCCTCTTTCTTTCTCACTTCACATACCTGTATACTTAATTTATTATTAAGATTGAGCAATGACTTTTAATAAAGGATTTAAACAATGTTTATATATTCCAAATTATACACAATTAAATTATGTACTGTTGTCAATAAAAACAACCTCCAAATACTAGAATGACACCATCTGCTGCCACTGGTGTTATGCCACATATTTTTCTGTCCTTTTTTTTTTTTATATTGGGTCACCTGAGAAGTTCTGCGTCTTTTTTTTAAATGATAAATACAAATGAAACAATACAGAAACATTAGAAAATTTCATTGAATTACATATGCATTGTTTTGTTCTACGACTTTTTGCAAATGAAAACTTTTCTTGTTAAAAAGATTATTAGCATTATTTTTTAAAGAAGTTATCAAGTCTCAAGAAATTTTGACAGTCTCCAAAAAATTCTCCAAATTTGAAAAAAGCAGCAAAATTTTTCAGATGACCCAGTATTTTCTGTAGACAGTTTTGTATTATGCTAACGGTTTATGAAACCAACATTCAATCATTTCACAGCTAACAAACTTAATATTTTTCAGAGAGGGCTCCTGGTTAATTCAATCCAGGATAGTTGGGAATTGACTGCTTTAATGTATAAAATTTACCCGAGCCAAAGTGATTTGATGCCATGTCGGTAAACGTCGACTTGAATTCTTGAAATGATCCAAATTTCTCATTTATCTTCTGAGCAATTTGACCAGTAGGTAGCCTGAGTTCACCTGAGGGATTTGGAGATATTGTAGCCCAATATAAATTGTGATTAACAAAACTGAAACATAAAACATGAGTACTATAAGCAATATGAGACCAATTCTATATGAAATAAAAAAACATAAAAAGTACTAATTTCTCATCAAACAATTTACAATATTTAGATATCAGTAGTATACTGAGATTATTAAAACAAGTACATTACGGAGAAATGGAGTATAAAAATACCTTAAAACAATCAAGTTTTTATAATTATTTTGGCTTTAGTTAAAAAAATTTCATTTGCTAGCATCTGCATAGAATCTAATTACTGATCTACAAAGATCATTTCTTTTTCTGTTACTTTTTGGGAATGAAAATTTCCTCCAACAATCTGACCGAAACACTGATTCAGTTCATTTTTATGTATTATTTTTATATTAACCCAAATTAATCCTCAATAATATTTTACATTAAACTGTACAATATAATGTATTCTTTAACACACATAAAGTTTTAAGCATGTACTGGGATCAGTCATAAGCGTAATCCAAAAGCCTCTAATCTGCGGTTTGCAAAACATTAAATAAAATTCAATTTTTTTAATTAAAAAATCATAGCAGATTTCAAGATTTAATATAACACTAAGAATAATTAACATAAAGTAACAAACTTTATTAAGACCAAAATAATAGCAGAAAAATAAGTAAGATATAGGGTAAAATCTATTTAATGTATACCTACTCAAAACACATTTGCCCTGATACAGCAACTTCTAATACTAAAACATATCAACAGAAAGATCTCATAGTCTCTGCTGGATTATTTACCAGAAGTGTTATTAAGTTACACTAAGAAACAAAGCAAAATACATTATCAACAACTTCTTTTCTTTTTTCACATTTAGAATTCTAGGACATTTATAAAAAAAAAAAAAAAAAAAAAAACAGGATTGTCCTGATAGAAACAGTATAAATGGGAACCCTACTCTAGTCCTAGGAAAATAATGTCTGACAAAAATTAGCTATGAGGATGATATTATAACTCATATGCTCAACAACCAGCACACTGCATTTACCTATGTGAAGCCCAAACTATATTTGTATTTGAGCTCGGTATGAAACTTGATAATAAAGCTACATCAGCACTTTCATAATTATTACTGAGAGAAACAACATAGCAGCAGCAAAAGAAATTTGTGCAATTGCTAAAGAAGATATGGTAAACAGCAGCATTACAAAAATGATTTTAAGTCTGGCTGCATTTTAAACAAGTGTAGTTGGGTCATAGCAAAAATTCAGAGTTTGCCAACTACACTATCTTAGTTTCTTTCCTAGCTGCTAAAATATATGCTACTTCATGATGTGTATATGAGCATGTTTGTACTGAAAGACATGTTCATGATTAAGCACTGTCAAATCCCCATAACAGTAAGCTTCTGTCTCAAAATGTACTTCAGCTTTTCCTTCAAACTAAGCACTAAATAAAGGTTAAATTTTGCCAATTGCAGTACAAAGTTCAAGTTAAAGTATCCTAAAAGAAAAATGTAATTATTATTATCTTTTTCATATAAAACAGGTTAGAAATATAGAATAATACATAAATTAAATAGTCAGCATTATATATGCATGCGTGTCAATACTTAATTACAGACATATGCTAACAGCTTGAATGTAAAGAATATACAAGCCTTTTACAATTCATCTCCCTAACACACAAAAGAGAAAATCTTTATCAGCATTTCATTAATTTTATTTGCTTTACAATTTACTTCTATCAGTTAACTTCTTACAATTATAAACCAATAAATGCTCATTTGCTTTAAAGTGCTGCCATAAGTACTACATTTAAAAAAAGAAGAAGAAAATGAAATACGTATTCAACTTTTCATTTTGTGAAAGAAGTGTGATTAAAAAAAAATCTTAACAATAAAAAAATATGAAGTCAATAAGTATACTACCTAGAATCAGTTTATCCAATCCCATAAAATTAGCTTTTAATGAATAAAAATTAGCTTTCCAATTTTTACATCTAATATAAATTCTAAGAAGTGTGAGAATTAGCAAATATATAAAAAAATACAAACATGCAAATATATTCTCACTGATACACATATAAATATGCTTGGAACAGGATTTCAAAAACCTACTTTACTTAAAAGCAATGGAAATAAGGAAGAGATCATGTTTCATTCCTATACTCTATAGTATAACAAATTATAAAACTTAGAATTACCTACCCACTTCCATAATTTTTAAAATCTTTTCGATATTTAGGAGGGACATGGGACACATTTCGAAGTATATCAATAATTGACAACCTTGATGCATGTTTTCCCTGTAACAAACATTTATTTAAGAAAGCAATAATAAAAGAATTAAAAACTTCTTAGGAAACAAAATATCGTATGAATAAGAAACAAACACATCTATAAAATAATATGCAGCATAACACTCTAAAAATATCGTATGAATAAGAAACAAACACATCTATAAAATGATATGCAGCATAACATTCTAATCTCTCTCTATATATATTACTTATTTCTGCACCTTAAAATTTATAAAATAAGAGTATAACTTGAATCTCTCTAGTCTAAATTACATAAGCAACAGCTGGATCTCTGTAGTGAAACTATATAAGCATTATTTATCCAGACAGTTTTATTAAGATAAATTATAAATTTCCTATAAGTACCTTAATAGTGTTTCTACGCCAGCGTTTTAATGCATTGTTCACCTCATCAATGTACTTAGCATGGAATTCAAAATAATGAGTTTTTGCCGTTGCTTCGTCAATATATGGTTCTAGTTCATCAAAAGTGTACCACAAAGGTGGTAATTCATATTCTAGTGCCGGGCGTTCTAAACCATAAAATGCCGGTGCTATTTCACTACTTTTTGTCGCAGCTAAAATAATCGGAAATATGAATCTTGCAAAAGCCATTAGAAAGATTATTTTATAATTCGAAAAACAAATATAGGAACGATATCAGCTTTAACGCAAGAGTACATCGCATATCGTTTATCCCACAAAACTCAACAATGCTTTCTGACAAATGCTGCTTGTTTTTTGCACATGCATATAGAACATATTGAATGAAAAACTACGATTCTAAGTCCCAAAGTCCACTTTTATGCTAAAGGATGAGAAATTGTTAAAGAATCTCAGAGAAGTACCACACTCGAGATTTGACACTCTTCAGTCATTTTAAGCTTTTGGCTAAACGTAAACTTGAACAGCAGACATGTATCAAATACAATTAAATAAGTTTACCTTGCAGGGCTAAAATTCAAGCCTCATAAACGTCCATAGATGGCAGCACATACCTAGTGAACTTTTGGTTGAACTGGAGCTGGTTAGATCCATCAGGTTACGATAAACCTCTTCCGTCAGATTCTAAACCTTGCTTAATATCTAGCATATAAAATCGCGGCATGTTTGATTTGCAAAACAATTTGAATTTCTTAAAAGAATTTACCAATCTTACATGCATAATTTCCTTTATTGCGACATGTCTAAATTCATTAATGCAATTAAGAATTTCCTTAAAGGGAATACTCGGGCTTTCTTCATTCTCTTTCTCCACGTATTTTCTCTGTCCCCGCTTAAATAAATAGAACAAACATTACAAGAACAATGTGGTGAACTTTAGGAAGATTTTTTTAAATTTCCTGCTAATTTGCGAGTCCTCTGTACTTTTTGTTTGCTTGTTTTTATGCCAAGAGAAACACACATCTTGGGTATCATGATCAAAACGCAAGGCTTTCTTTTTTTTTTTTTTTTTTGTAGAATTAGGATATCGTTTGATTTCCATGAAGTCCAGTCAAAAGCGTTATAAATAACCTAAAACTTAAACAAGTGCTGGAAAATGCCATCTGATGAATTGCCTACATCACTATGGAAACCATCGCTATTAATAGCGCTGAAATTGAACGAGCTTTTAGAAGAAAATAATGTGTGATGTCTTCAGTGAGCTCTAGATCCGCATCCGCACCGATATGACCGAAATATGGCGCAAGGCGCGACGTCTTCGGCTCAATGAACCAAAGCTCAGTGGGCACATGACATTATCATGCTGGACGTAGAGACGTGGAGGTCTAAGTTGAGTAGAAGGGGGTGACCATGAGTCACAATCCTAAGAAGGCAAAAACAGACAAGGATACAAAACCAGATGGAGCAGAGAGGGAGAGCTGTGAGTGCATGTTTGTGCTATGCAAAGAGACAAAGACAAGTCATATGACATATTAAACATACATAATTACATAAAAATAATACAAAGTACAAAAGTAATACAATTAATAACAAATAATTAGTAAAATACAAAAGTAAGGTACAAATACGAGAAATAAATGCAAAAATAATCTGAAAAACAAGGCACGTAAAGGATAACAATAAGCTAAAAATCGTATATACATGAGAAAGAATGGAATTAAGTAGGGAAGTTTGAGTCACGGGTGAGGTGGGCCGCGAGGGGTCTGATCTCAGAATCCATTTCAAGTACTTCTAGGTTGAAGACATTTAACTGGCCTAGGTGAGAGCAGTCTAAAGCTTTCTTAAAGAATTTACTGTTCATTCTGTGCAAAAACTTGTCTACGGTTTCAATTTGAAGATCCTCGTGCAGTGTGTCGTTTGAAACATAATAATATGCGCGAGCAATCTGCCTTAAAAATTTATTTTGCGTGATTTAAAGCTTGCGCAGGTCCTTCGTGCGGGCTGAAGCCCAGTTGGGCGATGCATAGGCAAAGAGGGGTCTGATGATGGCGATGTAAATGGGACTCTTCCTCCTGAGATCAAGTTTAGATCGCGGAGTATAAATATACTCCAGACTTCATACTCCGTGGTCTAGGTGAATGGCTCTCTGTGGTACATGTACTCCCTACGGCTAGGCGAAATGGTCATAGAGGGTAAATAGAAAAAGATGGTCATTGACAGATTAACTGAACATAAGAGAAAAGATAAAATGCTGTTGTAACAACTAGCTTTTCTAATCCAAATTATATTTGATTATGAAAAATCAAAATAATTAAAATGAATCCTAAATAATTTAAATTTAGAAAGCTATGAATATTTTAAATTCAGTTTAATTATATATTTTATTTACAGGTATAGTACCTGTCAAGAGGGATAGGACTACCGGACGACACCTGACATTCATTTCACCTATAGGTGGCGCTTTCACACATTAGCGTGGCGGATAAAAACCGGTATTTTGATTTGTAATCTGACTTCGTACATCCAAAAATGAAGTTGCTTAGCTTTTCCGAAATCAGAGCTTAAATTGCGCCGGAGCCAGCGGAACCCGGCTCCGGTACTTCTCAGTTTGTGGGATAAATCGTAATTCTAGCCGGAGCCCACTGGAGCTCTAAATAGAAGACTCCGACACTTCTTTTATGTAATTACGAAACAACAATTTCAGTAGAAATTTGACCTAAAAAATTTTATTTTTAGCAGCAATAAAATTATACCAAAAATCGCTTATTAAATTTTAATTTACCTCTTTTATTTTTGTTCACTTTAATTATTTAATTAATTTAATAATCAGTCATTAATTAATTAATTTAATGATTTATAATAATTATTAAATATTAATTTTAAAATACTATAAAATAACTATTTATTATTTGATAATAATTAACTATTTAATTTTTAAATTATTAATGATTTTAATAGCAATGAAAAAAAGAGAAATAAAATTAAAAAAAAAAACAAAACAGTTGTTCATGTAAAGGAGGAACTGCTAGCTGTTGTAAGCATTATGTCGCTGTTTTACTGTATTGCGAGAGGTAGCTGATTTTAACTTTCACTGATTGTAAACAAATGATTTCATATGTGTTTAACCTGGGATTTCCAGAAAATCTGTGCAGTCAAAAGTGTCTTTTTTTTCAAAAAAAAAAAAAAAAAAAAAAAAAAATGATACTGAATCATTATATACTAAAAATATATTAATCTATTATATGCGTCTATTGTAGTTATATCTATTATATACCCAATAGCACTAATTATCAGATGTAATTTTGAGAATATCATCAAGCAAAGCACTTGAAAATGAAAAAAGACACTTGTAATAGAAATATTAGTATTTTATATGTATTATAGAAAATATTGTATGATCTTAAATTCATTTAGTGCGAAAACAAGTTACTACTACTTGCGCAATTGCTGCAAAGTAAGTTAATAATAATTTATTTCCTAAACAATATTGATTAATTGATTATATTATCTCCTAAGTTTAATTAAAGTAGAATTATTTTAAAAATAGTGAATCCATACTGGTTATATTTTGAAAGATGTTTTGAAGTAACTTGAAAGTAAAATGTTAATAATGTGTTAACGGGGACTGGAATTAAATAATCATGAAGAACAAAATTTCAATTGTAAAAGGAAAAAATTAAATTAAAAGCATGTAATCATTTACTTGAGAAAGCAATCCTGCCTATAATATGTAGTTAACTTTTGATTACATGAAATTACAAGCATTTTCTTTAGATTTGTCCTATGTATGAAAGGTTAAAGCGACTGAATACCGGTAGTTCAATCTCGGATCAAATCCTGGTGAACAAGATGGCTGTGAAGGTTTTTTTTTGGGGGGGGGATGTGTTTTGCAAATACGAACCAGTTTGCCCTATAAAGTTCTTCATAAAGGCATTTTTCTTCAGATTGAAAACCAATGTGCTTAGCCATATTCAAATACCCTAATCTAAACATACCTTTCCTTTAGATTCTGTATTCACATGTTATATCTTGTATCTGTTAAGATTTGTTCATAGCAGGACAACGATCACCAAGCTTCTACCAATCTGGCTGGAGCATACTGAAAACATGTCAAAACCATGTGATTTATAACAAAATCGATCATGTTTTCACCATGCAAACCTTTGAAAATATTCCAAATTTTCTCAAAGATTCTTAATAATCTTATTATTTAGAAATGCGTTTATTGTTGCTTTTATATTAACAAAAGATTTATATTAACAAAAGCATTTAAATATAAAATATCAATTTTAAAAATAACAAATTTTCTTTTAACCAGTTCTGCTTTTCCAATGCTGTTTTTAATTATTAACTTTATATCTGAGCCAAAAATTCAAGAATAAGTCTATTAAAAAGTCTGTGTGATTGAAAAATCTGCCCTTATTAATTACTTTGTATGAACTTTGAATATGAAACACTGAATTAACACTCTAAACATGAAACATCCTATATGAAAACACTGAGTCTATTCTTTGAATATGAAGCACTGAATTAACACTCTAAACATGAAACATCCTATATGAAAACACTGAGTCTATTCCAACCTAATACAAGAATAAATTATACGAGTACTTATCAAAATTTCACAGTACGAGCTTCTCCGTATTATATTACAAAAAGATTAGAAACCAAGACTCCACATAGGATATCTTCCACTGACATAATGGTCTTGTATTGAAACAGAATTGTAGCAACATAGATGATATGAATTACCGAAGAATTATTTAAATTTCCTATATAAATTATAGCATTTAGAGTAACCAAAGACACACACAAAAAAATTTCAGATTTGTTGTAAAATTGGTGCCATGTCTTTCCTTATGATATAATAACTTCACACATTATCTACATATTTTCCTGTCAGTCAAGAAGATTGATGGAAATATTGTCCTTAGAAAAATTATTCTGACAGGTATTCGGAGAAACAGATATTTCTTTCTGAGTTACATGATCAACAGAAACTATACAGATATAGCATATAAAAAAACCTTGGAAAATTATATGTTGAAACTTGTGGAAATTTGGGAGGAACAGATGCTATTTATTTGGTTAGATAATCAACAGATAAAAGTGGTTTATGAAGGATTTCTTAGGGTTATATGAAACCACCGAGAATTTATGAGTACGTTTTGATATCATGCTTATCCATTATTGGGGCTAACGTACATTGTTATCAATTTTTGTTTGCCAAAAAATGGTCGAAGGTAGAGTAAAAATATTAGGAGTTTGAAGATAATCATCAATACATCATAACGTCTTTGCATAGAAATATGATACCCAAGAACCAAAAATAAATTATACTCATCAAATGAATTTTTGTATGTCATAATGGTTTCATGGGAAAATATAACACACCTCGTAGATAAACAACTACAATCATTATATACAACAGCCATTTCATTAAAAAAGAGGCATACATTATATTAATCAGATAAAATTTGTTGTAAGAACTTCACTGTCTGATTATAATTCTTAAGCAAACAAGAAGCCATTTCAAGTACCATAATATAAT